TAGGGGCTGAGCTGGCCTGGAGAAGTGGAGGGGAGAGAGAAAGAGGAGTAAAGAGGGACTATGTAAAGACAAGAGCAGCTCAACAAGCTTTCATTTAGAGAGAGTTATCAGGAAGCGTGTCTCTGGTTTCCTGGTGGGTGTCTTCCGGACCAAATTCCCAGAGCCCTTTCAGCGGCATTACCGTGCAGATCCAGGATTCCCTCTCTCACGGCCAGCGTTTTGGCGCCATATACTGGGAGCTCAGGAGACCGCAGGTGCCCGTGCAAGGTAATGACTGCCTTGTGTTGAAAGGGGGATGCTTCAGTCCCAATCTGCAAGGCAATTCATATGCATCATTCAGAAAGTTAAAACCCAATATCCACAATTCTAACCATTCAAACGGAATTCTTTCCTTTTCATCCCTCTCTTTCAAGAATCGATTGTTCAGTTGGCAGTATCTTCCTTCCAAAAGGTAAATTTAAAATTTTCTAGTCACTAAATACACCAAAACAAATGTTCAGAAACTATACTGATTGACTTTAGCCATATCTCAGAGCTAATATTTCCTTTGCTCTATTTTAAATTCTTCTGTATGATAATGCACTATTATCTTCCCATTAAAAGTGCAAGAATACTCTGGGAAACTGTTTCCCCAAAGAAGGAGTTTTTCCTAATAACAGAGATATACACAAAGATAAACTGTGAGAGTTTGGTATAACAAACTATCCATTTTACACATAGTATTTTAAAAAGAAATGGAGAGAGGTTAGCAATGAATATGTATCAGGTTCTCTTCATATACCTGAAGAATGCCTCCATCTGTAATTAGAATATTTTCTGCCTGGAGCTCAATGTCAGCTTCATCAAATATTAGAGTTCCACCTATGAACCATACAATTTTGAAATATGTCACAAGGAATATTTTTATTAAATTATGCATTAAAATTAAATTTCTTATTCTCATCTGCTCTCACTGTGCATGTCAGTTAACTTCAACTTTTTTGGCAACAGAAAGTATAAAAATTTCAGACAAGATCCAGGAGTTGATAGAAAATCATGTTCCTGAACAGATTATTTTCCCTTGACAATTTGTTATTTAAATGCTATCAAATAGTACAGCTACATGAATTATAGTATTACAAACACAGGATCTCAAAATATAAATTAAGAACAAAAATAAACAATGATTTTATAACCCTTAGTACCCACTATACCAATGTTTTTCTAAATAGGAAATACCTTTTATTGTTGTGATTCACTGGAAGTGCACAGACATGCACACACACACGTTTTATCGAAACAAAAGCTTTATGAAACATTTAACTTTAAAAGATGTTTACCTATATGAATACAGTACATTCTGACATTTTTCTATTCTATTTCATTAAAAGATTCTGGTTGCAACACACTAAATTTCATACCACAAATGAACTGTAATACTCAATTTTAGAAACTCAGTATTACACTCTGCTTTAAAAACATGATACCATTATGGTTGTTCATGATCACGAATTTTGATTAAATTAACATCACAGAAATACTCCACCGGCAGTCTAATAAGAAGATTTTCAAAAATTACCCTGAATAAGCAACATTTTCAGAATAGGGGTGTTTTGATCCAGCAAAATTATCTGTCCTTTTGTAATAACAACGAGTGACCCTTCCTCTGGGGGAGATTCTCCTCCCCAGGAGAAGTTGGAGGACCAAGCATCAACGTATAGGAAGTCAGCATTATTCTGTAATAGAACATGAAAGACTTAAATGTAGGGGTTTTATCAGAATTCCTTATTCAATTTCTCAAAAAAGAAGAAATCTAAAACAGTAAACATTTTCATTAATAATAAAGTATAACTTACTTGAAATATGTTATAGTTGCCTTGAAATATGTTATAGTTAACAATTAAATGAAAGATCCATTACCAATTACCCCACAATCCAGAATAATTAAAAATCTGAGCTCATAAAATGATAGTAAGAAAAACAAGCCACTTTAAATTTTTTATAAGTACAACTCAATTATTTTTTTGGAGACATTAACAAAGTAAAAGAATCCATTCCTATTTACTTTACCTCCTATAATACTAGTTTTTCTATTGTGATCACTAAACCCAGCAGGGCTATTATTACCAGTTTGGCCATGCCAATTCTTCTGATGTTGACCTTCACTGGAGCCCACCCTGAAGGAGTGTGGGTGTTTGTCATGCAGATGATGTATGTCTTGTTGGAATATTCAACATCACATTTGGATTCAGCAATGGTGACAAGAACATTCTGTATATTTTCACTATCAAGAAAAAAGGAGGAAAAACCGATGTTTTTCTCAGATTTCTAGGTCACACTGTCAAATCCTGTTACTGATGTGCCTTATTGTAAAAATAATGATCTTACCCTACAATCCATCAAAGTGCTGACTGACACTTTCCTTCAGTCATGAGACTTCAAAATATTTGTTGAAGAAAAAGTAAATGAAGCGATTAAGAGGCCGGGAAGTAAAACCCTACAAACTGGCAGGTGTTCTAGTGCCAGAGAAAAACTACCTGGGTTGAATTTGAGAAATTCTATGTTGGTCTCCAAATAGGGGCCTTTGTAAGAGACTTTCAGGGATCATTTTCTTTATATGACATGGTTTCTACCTTCACACACTTCAGAACTTAATCTCTATGTAAAAGGCAAGTCCAAGGTAGTGATCCGTACTTGAGGAATTAAAGTTGCCTTCTATGGTTTAGATGATCTGGGGTTTTGAGGTCAGCCTTATGGACTTGAAGAATGATGACTGAGTAGTACATATATTGAGCCAATAATGAATACATTTAGGAGAAAGGAACGTAGCCTATTGCAATGAAATGGAACCTGATGCATGAAGACATGTTTCATTGATCCAATGAAACAGAGCGTGGCTGGATTTACACCTGTAATGTTATGTACTAGGATTTGGGACAAGTTATCTAATCTCTCTAATCTCAGTCTCCTAACCATAAAATGGGATATAAATATCTAAGAAAGTAAGGCGGAAGTTTCTGTGGGGTCAGAAGGTGCCTGACACAAAATAAGTACTCAATAAATGTTAGCTGTTAGTGCTATTACATGCCTCAAACATGGTTTTTTGATTGCATGACTATATATCAAGCACTGTCGTTACATATGAGAAAGCAGGCACAAGGAACTCAGCACTGATGTGCATGTGTGTGACGACAGTACCTGAAGCCCGATCCCCTGACTGTGAGTCTGGTGCCCCCCGCCGTGCTGCCTCTCTTGGGAGATACTTCCTTGATGAGCGGAGTCAGTGACTCAGTGTACATAAAAGGAGTTGTGGACTGTGACACATCCTTCCCGTTGGCCACTCGCACTTCACAGGCTTGCTCAGGGCCCCCGCCTAGGAGGAGAGGTTGGAACTGAGTACGGTTCTCCATCAGGCCCATCAAAACCCTCAAACATTTTCAATAACATCTTCCTTTTCCTGAAGTCACTTTCCAACATACACAGGCCAAATGTGAAGTAATAAAGATCTTCAGCAATAGCCAAAAACATCACATAGCTCATGCACATTAGGAACAGGGAAAAACCCTTGGACCCTGCCTCAGAGCCTCTTACAGTAGACAATTCTGCAAACCTCCTTCTTTAGTTTTCCAGTCCTAGAGGATCCCACACTGCTAATTAGAGGAGCAAGGAGGAAGAACCGCTAACAGCAGGCACGCTGACAACAGCAAGGAGTGACTGCTGAGAGCAGTTAAGACACAGAAAAACTACAGAAACCCTGTACAGATGTGCAAAAAGATGCAAAGCTAGTATTAAAAGAACCTACAAAACTTGACAAATCTCAGCAGTCTATTGCATTTAAAAAATCAGGATACAAACTCTCATGCTGAAATGATAAATAAGTCCACTCAAAAAATGTTACATTTTCTTCAATATTTTTTCTTTTAGAAGTCAGAAAAAGAAACAAAAATGTTTAGAAAAGCCTTGTCAAATTTTGTTAATGTTTTAAAAAATGTTTGCACATAAACCATGTCCTTTATTCATCTAGAATATTCCCTTTGGTTCTTCTTAAAGTTTGTTAGATAATTAAAATTTATTGTGTACTTAAAATACACAATAAGTTTAGATATTTAAACTTTACAATAACACACTGAATTAGGGTTGATAATATCTCCATTTAGTAGAAGAACAAATTGAAACAAAGAAGATTTAAGCTACTTAGCTGAAGTGCCACTAAATAAAAATAGTGATAATAATAGTAAATCACATATCATGCTCCAGACATCATTCCATCTACTTTACATATATTGATTTATTAAACCCCACAATAATCCAATGAAGTAAGCTAACATGGTTATTTTCACTTCACAGATGAAGAAACTGAGGCACAAATGTTGACTAACTTGCCGAAAGACATAGCTGGGGTCTGAATCTTGGCAATGCTTTATCAGTTCACACTCATAACCATTATACTATCCTATCTTTAAGGATAATCTAATACTCCAGTAGGAACTTAAAACACATTCTCCTTGTGGCATGTGCAGTGTATGTGATAAACTGACAAATCCCAATTTATTAGGAACAATTCAATTTGGCCCAAATGTTATGAATCTTGAAAGACATTTAAACCTGGAAAATAAAGTTCTGAAGAAATTGCTTAAATGCAGCACAGTTATAAAAGTGATTCGATGCCACAAGAGAACATTAAAAACTTGAAAGAAGAAATTCAGACTCTGATGTCTATAAAATGAGTAATTTCCCCAAAGCCTACCATTCTATTTTCTGACTACTTACCATTATTAGGTGGAGTTTCACATAATAATGTTGTGTAATCAGATTTAAGCCTATTGACTGCACATTCTGAGTCACACACTATTACAACTGAATTTTGTGGATTGAACCCAGTGCCCGTCACAGTCATGGTTTGACCACCACCGAAGCTCCCTAGTGAAGACATATAAAAGGGGAAAACAAAACTAGTGAAAACAAAACCTCCTCTGTGTATATATGTAACTTTATTTTAAAATATGAAATGCAATTACATTATATGAAAAGACTCTTAGAACTGAAATTATGTACATTATATTATTTTATATATTAATTATAAATATATTGTGGTATAGTGTTGTAACATATTGTAGTTTTAAAACCTTCACTGAGTACATATCAGATCTTATTTAGTTAGCTAATAGGAACTAAAATTTTATTTTAAAGATGTCACAAAGAATTTCAGAGTAGTCAAACATAAATGTAAAAATTATTATTTTGAATACACTGATTAAACTTTATTAAGGTTTTTAACCATTAAAATTCTTTTCAAACAGAAAAATATATTTATATAGACATAATTACAGGGCAGTGATATCGAAACATGATTTTTTAAAAACTTTCCACATGTAACCTGGACATTTTAAGTGGGGTTATATTTTAAGTAAATCATATAGTACTCAGAGAAACAGGGGCACTAAACTAATATTTCTAAATGATTAATTGAAACCCTTGCATGTTTATTTGATGCACAAACAAAAATATTTTAATATGTTATAAAGCTACTAAAAGTGTTAGCACTGTTGAAGAATATATACATATTTTTCTAAATAAGTGTTTACTTAAACAAACTATTTGTAGGTTCCTGCACACTCATGCCTACCTTGGCTTGGGTGAACACTGTGAATGGTAAGAGGGTACTCAAATGCTACTGTGGACACCGCAGAGCCTTTTGTCTTATGATGCAACATAACAGGAAAAGTGCCACCAGCGTGATCTCCAGTGATGCACTGTAATGCACTATCACTGACCATGGTCACATTACACTGGCTGTTGTTTATCGTCACTGAAATATCCAAGATATCAATACCAAAATTAGATCCAGTGATCTTAATTTTGGTTCCAGGTGGACCTTTAAAAAAAGCAAACAGTATAAATATATATAAAATTTCCAATACTTGCACATGCATTTAAAGATATACCTATTTACTTCTATAAACAAAATAATAGCCAGTGCTTTACAACTAATGTAAGTATTAATAAAACGTGTGTCATATACATTTTGGCTATAATATGCATTGCAATCTCTGGTATATTAACTATAAATTATCACATTATTTTCCAGCCCTTCTGTCCTTTCTTTGAGTTTAAAGTTACTAATTCATGCTAGTGGAGAAGAGAGGGGAAGAGAGGAGGTCCAGGGTTAAGAAGTATGAATGTTTGGGTAGGGGGTGATGGGATGGAATATAATTTAGGGATGGAGCTTACTATTTTTTATTTTTATTTTGGTAGTTTCCTGATACTAGCAACTCTTTTGAGGATCGGTTGTTTTTCTTAATTTAAATATTTCTAATATCTGTGACTTGATAAATTATGATAGGTAAATAATTAGGTATAAGTTAGTAAATTCAGAAATAAGAAATTAATTTAAAAACTTATAGTTGAATGTTGATGTTGATGGCTTGAATAAAGGTACATAAAGCAAAGAACTTCAATCCTTCTGTTCTCCTCCTTCTTCCTTTTGAAAATGCATTGAGGACAGTAAACACATGGACTTGTTCACAGGTCATCCAAATGAATTCCTATATACCTAACTATTAAGTGAATAGATATTAATCAACATTACTTATCACAGAGTCACCAAGTAGTGGTATGATTTTTAATTCAAGTAGGAATAGTAAAAATAACCATATAATTGACCATATAAAGATCACTGAAATGTACATGTCATTTTAAAGACTGTAGACATTAATTAAACCATTCATGTTAGGAATAGTTTTAAGATATAGGCCAAAAAAGATATTTTGGGAGGGTCTTAAATTTTTGGTTTTGTATGGCATTTTCACCTTTCAAATGGAAGTGTTTTTAAGTGTGATTTATTGCCTTGTCTCTTCAGTAAATAAAACAGTTCCTCACCTATCTACAAGTCTTACCATCTTCAAATGCATTGTTTGAAAGAGATATTTGAAGAGAGATATGACACAGAAATGATTCATGGAAATAGGGAACATATGCCAGTATCTAGTTCATCATTTGTAATCACTACAAATATATGGGAAATAACTGTGTCATTGCTATTGTTAATGTTTGCTTTTCAAAAATTCCTAAGTAGGAAAACTTGATGTATTAAAGAAAATTTCAATAGCAAACTTCTTGCAGGCAGAGAATTTATCTTAACCAAACCTGACACATTTCCTGGTAATGTAAACTGAAGACTTTTTAAAAAGGCTAACATTTTTTTAAAATTAAGGTATCATTGATATACAGTCTTATGAAGGTTTCACATGAGCAACATTGTGGTTTCAACTCACTCATATTATCAAGTCCTCACCACCTCTGCGCCCCGACCATTGCAGTGACTGTCTGTCAGCATAATAGATGCTTTAGAGCCATTACTTGTATTCTCTGTGCTGTACTGCCTTCCCTGTGACCTACCTATATTGTGAGTGCTAATTATAATGCCCCTTAATCCCCTTCTCCTTCCCTACCCCTTCACCCTCCCCAACCCCTTCCCTTTGGTAACTGCTAGTCTCTTCTTGGAGTCTGTGAGTCTGTAAAAAGGCTAACATTTAATTATTTTCTATTAAAGGCACCATTCTAAGTTACATTATATGAATGAACTTCTTTAATTTTATGAAGTAGGTATCTGTATGAATAAGGAAACATATTTTAAAAACTTGTCCAAAGTTCCACCCCTGTAAAGTAGAACCAAGATTTGAAGCCAGCCATCAAGGCCGTGTTCTCAACCATTGCACTACAGGCTGCCTCTCCAGAATTCATTATGTGGATGATAAGTATTTCCAACAGCTTGAAGATGATCAGAAACAGCATAGCATAATAACAAAGGGTCAAGACAACATCTCAATTTATTCTTAGCTTAAAAAATGAATCATACTAAGTAAGTAAATCTTATTTTGTTATGTTTTTCCTATCTGAATGGGCCAATTATCTCCTTAAAAAGAATTAAGTTGTGTTAATAAGTTAACAATCGAGTATAGTTTCATGGAAACAAGGTATTCCAAAAATTCTCAATGGCGGTAAGATACACTACTTGTGAATTTTAATAGGTGTTTCCTGTGTCATTTCAATGTTGATGACATAAATTTATTACCAATTTTAGGCCATATATATCTATTTAGTTTTTTTCTCATTTTGAAATGTAGGTCAAGCTAATAAGGATTTTGTTTCAAAACATAAGTTGGCATTTGACTAAAAATTGTATCCTGGAATGTGTATAAAATAGTCCCGACAGAGAAACTACATAGAACTTGAATTCCATGTATTAACTGGGTTGGGTGGATTGACTAAAATGCGTCTTCATAATCATACATAAACAGTATTCCCATTCTATCCTAATAAATATTACTGATAATATGAGGTCAGGATAGTAGAAGGCAGATATTAGAGTACCTGTACTCGGGACAATTCCTCTGAGAAGTGGAGTTTTTTCAAAGGCATATGTAAATGACAGAGGTGGGTAAGCGACTGCATTAACAAAGATTTCCACACTGACGTTTCCAGCTGTCCCTGCTGGGGTACAGCAGTGAACTTCACTGGAGTTGACAGAAATAATTTGACAAGGTTCATCCCCAACAATGACTGTGGTGTTGCCTGGATAGAAGCCATTTCCTGTGATCACCAAAGTAGTTCCACCCCCAAGGCTTCCCGAAGTCGGTGTGACAGATGCTTCCGCAGGGCTGCTGACAGTGAGGTTCCCCAGAGCCAAGCCTTTGGTTCCCACCACAACTTGGAGAGCGTGCAGTCCAGCCGGGAGAGGAGTCACAAGAACAGTGATGTTCTTTTCATTAACACCCACTGCTCTGAACTGTTGGTTTCCAATGAAAACAGCAATGTCTTCCAAGACGGTGCCAAAACCTTCTCCTTCAATGAGAACTTTTACAGAATCTTTGATAGAATTTGAGGAAATTCTTGTTATAAAAGCAGTGATGTTTTCTAAATATGAAAAGCTGCAGTTCCCCTGACACTGGGCAGGCACTCCATGTATCAGAAGACCTACTTCCACAAGCTGCTGGGGAGCAGGAAATGTTTCGCATTCGATGGCTGTGTAATTTACTGACAGGACTCTACATGGAAAATGGCCCATAAGGACTTGCACACCTGCAGAGGAAACGCCAAACCCAGAGCCTTTTATGGTCACTTTTGTCATTCCTGTAGTTGACCCTGCATTTGGCAACACCATGTCAATGTTTGGCAAAAGTACAAATCGCCTCTCAAATTCAGTGGACTGTGTGTTGATTGCAGTACCCAAGTTGTAGACAGTTAATGTGACGATTTCTCTGAGACCAACATCCATTGAGTTTTGAGGGTCAATACGACACATAATGGAAGTGTTACTACTTTCTTCTACAACACAGGGGTAGTTACCAATTGTAACCTGAAAGTAAAATGAACAGGAAACAAGTCAATACATTACTCTAGTATGAACTTAAGTGTTATATTAGCAACAATTATATTTTTTAATCATGTGAAAAATTTTTTATTCATAAAATTAATTTTGGGGGATGACTAAGGCATAGCTTGGATTAATCTTAAAACTAGTTAAAGTATGAATGTATATGAATGTTCACAGCTACATTATTCATAATAGCCAAAAAAGTGAAAACACTCTGTCCATGAACTGATAAATGGATAAGTAAATGTGTATATTGTACAATGAAATATTATGCACCCATAAGAAGAAATGAAGTACTGATACACAGTACAATGTAGATAAACTTTGAAAGCATTATGCTAAGTAAATAAAGCTGGACACAAATGACCACATATTATATGACTCTATTTATAAGAATATCCAGAACAGGTAAATCCAAAGAGACAGAAAGTAGATTATTGGTTGTTTAGGGCTGGGGGGTATGGAGAAGTTGGGGGTAATGTCTAAGGGCTGTGAGGTTCCTTTTTGGGGTAATGCAGATATTCTAAAATTGAATGATGGTGGCTGCTCACCTCCGTGAGTATACTAAAAGCTATCAAACTGTGCGCTTTAAGTAGGTGAATTGTAGGGTATGTGAATTATATTGCAGTGAAGCTGTTGGAAATTAAATTATGAGGCTATGGACAAAACATCTTCCTTTATTCAAGTATATAGAAGATAGAAGAAGATTTTCATGGTCTTACCTTATTAGCACATGAGAAGTTACTGAAGCCACACCCCGTAATTGTTACCAATTCAGTGAGTGTTCCGGTAGATGGACTAATGTTGCTTATAGATGGTGAAAAACAACTTGAAAGCTCAAAAAGAAATCTATGTGAATATTTAAGCTCGGTATTATTCGGGCCACATGGGGGTTCTGTTGCTAGGCAGCCTTCCACAGAGCTTCCCAAGTGCAAACTCACTGGTCCTCCTTTAGACAAAAGAATGGCCTGTAAGCGATGGATCAACCTCTAAAAGAAGTGCTTCCAGACTGCATTACTCTCTATTTCGATAATGGCAGTTTATATTCTGGTAAAACTCTTTTTCTAATGACAAGAGGGGCTCAGGCAGTACAAAGGAAAAGAAAGACCTGGGCAAAGATGGTGTAGTAAAGGGAGAAGAGAGAATATAAAATTAATTATTTTTCCATTTATCTAAGGCTATATCTCATGGGGAAAATAAAACAATAATATCATCTCACACTTTAATTTAGTTTCAGGCACATACAGATGTCAGAACTTTTTCACATTACATCTTCTTTGAGGCACACAAGAATTCTGGGAGACTGGCAGGACAACACGAATATGATCCTTATTATCTAGAATAAATTCCCACCTCAGCGCAGTCCAGACCTATCAAGGTCATGTGGCTGGTAGGAGACAGAAGCCAGGTTAGACCCAGTCATCTGCTTCCTGCCTGAGCAAGATCACATGAATCTCGAGTCACCTGAGGAACAGGGCTTCCATCTGTGACCCTCTTACCTTGGGCATATGTGGCTTCAGTGCCACCCACAAACAGGCGCAGGGGAATGTGCCTGGATTCAGCAGGCCAAACATTAATGACTCCTTGGAGAAAAATGGAGTGAGCTTCATCAACAGACCCACTGCTATAATAATGGATTCCAGGTGAAGTAAATTGGTAAGAAAATGAACCTGCCATAAAATCACATTGTACATAATAAATACAAGCAACTAATGCATCTTTGAAAAGAAATTTGGAATGACCACTCAAATGCATATACAGATAATAGGTTTCTTATTTTTTTTATGCTTGTGAGATTTCAAGAGAAAGTCACAAAAAAATGTATCACTGGCTATTAATGAGCTGTCTTGTGTAATGAAATTACATTCCAGGAACACCAGATCCAGTGTTAATTTTCTAGAAAACCATGTCAAATTAAAAAAAGAAACCCAACATGCAGTGAAAAATAAACAATACTTAGTTTGTTCATGAATAAAAAGTTCAAACCGCTACATGTATAGACAGACAGGCAGCCTACAAGGCACTCTGTACACAGCTGCAGGCGAAATACTGATTTTCATGCTGATGCCAATCAACAGAAGTTCATTGTTTGCTGCTAGACTGGCATGATTCGAACATATAACCCAATTTTCTTTGTATTTTGCTTGTTTTCATGTATTTTTCAATTGATTACTCCAGTATGATATCAGAACTCATCTCTAATGTGTAAAATAGTTTACATTGATTTGTAATATTTTGTAAATTTATGATATCTTCAGCAGTATTCAGTTGACAGTAATAAAATGTCAACTAAACCATTTTGGGTATTCATATATATGCAAAAGTATTTTAAATCTAAACAAAATGTCTTCTATTATATATAGGGCAAAAAGCTGGATGCAAAATGAAGCCACATGGAAACATACCTGATGCAGTTTTTTCTCTTCCATTTGTAAATCCTTTGCCATCATAAATTACACTTCCAGGACTGGAGACAGAAAAAACGCTGTATCCTATTCCCCTAAGAAATGGGTGTGCTTGCCAGTGCCATGTCACTGTGTCTCCCACAGATACATTTAAGACCGACGGTGACCAGGCATAACCTAATCCATGTACTGGGAGAATTGAGTCCAATTTTAAAAAGAAAAAGGAAAAGGAGTAAAAATTCTTAACAATTGTCTTCGAAATACTGCATTTTTATACAGCCTCTAGTAGAAAAACTTTTCAATTAACATTATAAAATGTTTATGTGCATAATTTAAATGCAACAAAAATGAACAGAAATAATGGAATGTAAGGTAATGAGAAGCTAAGGAAAACAATGAGCCACACAACTCCAAAACTGATCATCAAGAGACTATTTGAAAAAAATCAGGAAAAGTAAAAAAATCAAGTTGTCCAGAAACAACACATGGAATCTTTTTAAAAGCTACGATCAATCCTTTCTTTTTATTGACGTGTAGTTGACATTACGATCTATTCTTTAACATAAGAATTTTCTCAAGCATAGAGGCGTGCCAACATCTATATAATTTCAATTTGAATATTTATTCAGAATATTTATGTCAGAATACTGGTAATAAATCACACTAATTCGGGAGGTCCTGTACTATAATAAAACCAAATGGCAATTCTAAACTTGGAAATTTTAAAGTCCAGCCTTTTAGACTCAAGTCTACCACTGATTTCTTCTGTATGTGACTCACTCTGTCAAGGTGATAAATTATAGACAAATTATTGATAAATTTAGAGAAAAATAACAAAACTTATACTTTTAAGTATTAAATAAATAAAAATAAAATTAATTCCAGGGTAAATGGCTGCCTTTATTTACAATATGTATGTGTCACCTGATACCTGAATCTTTCCCATTGTTGGTAACCCTGAACACATTTCCTGTTGAATGAAGAATACATTTTATGACATTTTCTGATGATAATGTCACATTGCAAGGGAAGGACCCTAGAAAGAAAAAAGATGGGAAAACATTTTTTTCCAAATATTTTTTGTAAAATATAGAGATAAAGTACAATTGTAAGCAGACAGGGCCCTATCAAAGCTCTATATTATATCATAGCATCTTTGGTACTTTTTTCTGATAGTAATCATGATGAGTACTGATTATTTTTAGAATGGGGACTTCCCCTTTTTAAAGTGTTCTATACACATTAGATATATAATAATTATTATTTATTGAAATCAAAAGCAGTTACTTTTATCTTTACCACCTTAACCAAATACACTTAATGTACACTTGTATGTGCTGATATAAAAATAAAGCTTCCATGACTGAGAGTATCTGTGTAATAACTCAGCATCAATAGCACATCTTCTGAAGTGAGATAAATAACAGCCCTTCAGTGAGGATGAAAGTCTTACCCAGCAGCACCACGTTCTCAGCTGGTATCGGGCTGAACCCCAAGCCCATTATAGTGATTTCAGTTCCACCATATAAAGAGCCTCTCTGTGGAAACATGTTGGTCACTTCCAAAATATACCATACAGAAGCATTTAACTTGTCTCTGAGAAAGAAAATGGATGATTCAATAAGCTTTCTATGGGGTCATGTTGCTCAACTCTTATTAGGAAAAGATTCATTCAAGGAGGAAATAATTGAATATTTAAATAGACATTACTTTTTCAAACTAGATAATATGATAATCATCATGACCTCAGTTTGGTTATGTTTGTGTGTGTGTGTATATATATATATGTATGTATGTATATGCATACACACACACATGGTATATGTGGTATATATGGTTTATGGTATACATACATATAAATGGTATGTGTGTGTATATATATGTATGTATGTGTGTTTATATACATATAAAAGTTTTTCCTTTACTGTGAAAATTAAATTTCTGAAAAGCTCATGGTGGAAGAATTTGGGATAGGTCTTAAAATATTATGGGAAAAATATGGTTATGAGAACTGAAGTCACAAGAAATACATAAAATCCTTTAAAATATTTTATATAGTCATTAGAGTAAAACATAGAGGCAGTGTTATCTATAAAAAAGAATAGCAATGAAATTCCATACCTTTTATATAAGTAATAAAAAATTTGTGCCATCAATTTGAATTTATCATCCTATGTTTGTTGAAAATTTTTCTTGATCTCCCTACTATTTCAATGAAAATGTTTTTAATACTCTTTGCTTTGTTACAGACAACATGTCTACTGGGAGGCCATCAAAATGTACAATGCTTTTCTGACCTGACATGTAGACCCAACTTCCACCTCCCAGCTCCTGATAACTCAAATGAGTCTTTGTGTTAACTTTTATTTAACTTCTGCAGCATAACTGTACTGGCATTTCTTGAATCACCACTCAAATACCCAGTTTCGCATAGGCAGTTCTGCCCATCACATCATCACGCCAAAGCACAAGCCTCCAGCTCTCCTAGAACCCCTGAGGGCTCTGCCTGTGAGTCTCGGGAGATGGGAGACTGAGCTTTAGATTTATGGCTGCTTATCTTCCTTCACCTCAATATTCTGCTGCAATGGTCTCTCCTTCTACTCTGACATCAGCTTTACTTGCCTTTTTTTAACCCCTAAATTTCAGTTTTCTGTTTTACTAAGTATTCTAAGCCAGTAACTTACTTATGCCAGATTAAAATTTTACCAGTTAACAGACAGCTTCAGGAAGGAAAATACTAAACACTTACCCAAAGACAACTTAGAGCTGGAGAAGGATTCTCTCCATCCTCTCTCTCAGATGTGCAGCTCCTACCCATTTCTTGGCTTAACTATTACCTTTTTAGAGAACTCTTCCTGTCCTTCAGGAAAAGTTAGCCCTCTCTGTCACATGCTCTCACAGCACATATGGCATATATGACCTCTTATTCACAGCCTTTTTCATGTTTATAGTTGAGTTGTTGATGTAATCCTCTGTTTGAAATCTACTTCCCCAACAAATTGTGGACATCATGAATGGTGAGGACATGTCCCTCTTACCTTCCACTGTGAATCCAGCACTGAGCAAGTACCTGCCCCCCAACAACTGCTTGATAAGTATTTGCAGAATGAATAAAAATCATGAGACATATTCATAAACTTAGTTCCACAGGGAATCTCACAACCTAATCTGAATGGTATCAGTCTCAACACTAAGCATATTGCACTTTATGAGATATTCTCAGAACTGCTTGCTGAAGGAGATGCAGAAAAATAAAAAAAGCAATAGAAATAGTATAAAATTAATCACTATTTATTTTCCTATTCCAAAACTACTAGCTCCAGGTATTCTATGACTCCATTAAGTTTATGGTCATACTATACCTTGTTGATGCAAAACCCCAGTTTCTGACTTCTACATAGATACCATGTTTTCCAGGAGACAACTTGGGCAAAAGGCATCTAATGCCTGTGAAGTTCCAATGAAGGATCTGGCAGGGTTTTCCTCCAACATATACTTCCACATTTTGTGTGAGCTCATTTCCAAAGTTGTAACCCTTAATTGTTAAATTAACTTCTCCTATTATTAAAAGAAAAAAATGTTATAAAAAGATTCAACTTACAATCTACTATGAAATCTGCATATTACATAAACAAACTAGAAATAGTTTTTTTTTCTCTCTCTCTTTCCATACACACACACACACACACATAAGTCAAATAACTGATTTTATTGAAGAATTTATTACCTAATACTGTCCGTACTTTTGGACTAAAATCAGTTATAACTGGAGTCTGTAAACAATTATAACTATAAGCATCCTTTGTGATAGCTTGATATCCATTGGTAATAACTGAAATATCAACTGTGCCCTCAATTCTCTAAAATAAGAGGAAAAAACAAGACAATTAGAAAATATTAAATGTTGAGATGCAGAAATCTAATGGCTAAAAACAGAATTTATTCATAATAAAACTTCCAAAGATGTTTTATTTCAAAGTCATGAATCAGAGTCAGTTTTAAGATATTCAGAAAGTTGTGCAGTCATATGTAAGTTACATGTTTAAATTTTTAGGTAAAGGTATATGATATAGTGGTTTTATGGGTATTCAATTTAAATGCATCTATATGATTGGATTCCTGAAGGTTCTACAATTTAGTTCTGATGCTCTGGACAAGTGATTCTGTAACTGATAATGTGTAAGATCCTAAAAGTTTGACTTACTGCTCTTGAAATAGACTCAACCTTCATTTGTATTCTTCTTTGCTGACTAATCGCATTATATCTTTTGTTGATCTAGTGCCAGAATCCCAAACTAACACTTGAAACCCTAAGAAAAATATTTGGAGCTTTCATTGATGCAGAGCCTATACACTTCCCAAATAGGAAAAACAGTTGTTCTAGCATGTAGTGCTTACTTAATGCACACTTGTGTTTAACCGAATGACATAATGTGAACCCTTTTAATTTACTGCATCCCCCAGATTCTCATTTCCATCAGCCAGTCCAACGTGTGCTCAAATTTACTTTTCCTACAGATTTCAACTACATAATACCCACACTTGGACTGCTTCATTTTTTTTTTATGTCAGTGACTGGATAATTATCCTTTTCCATGTAGTAAGCAAACCAGAATCCTGGTTTAAATTTAAACACTGTTTTTCAAAATTAAAGAACAATGAATGGTGCTACAGATGCAATATTCCATGAGCAACTTCATGGATTACTGTCAACAAACTGAAGCTTTAACACATCTACAACATAGGTTCCTTTCTAAAAACAAAAAATGTCTAGATTTGCTTCCCTGACTTTCTTTAGACCATTTATTAGTACTGAATTTTTTCTTCTATGGATTGACCAGGTTGACTCCTATTCATCCTTCAGCCTCCAATAACATATCAACTTTGTGAAACTCTCTGATTCCCTTTCCCCTGTATTTTATTTTACTACACATCTACTTCTATTATTTCAAGTCAAACACATAATTTAATACTGATTTACATCTCTGTCTTCTTTAATGATGTTAAGTGTCTAGAATATGGAGATGCTTTGTATTTGGATCTTAGCAGAAAGATGTTGAAGAAATGCTGCAGTTCCTGGGAAAAGATGTCATTTGCCTAATCCTCTAAGATGTTCTTTAATTCATAAGATTTCAGATGTAGGGGGAAAAAATGTCTTACTTTAGGTGTTCTGCAGGTTATCTTACTCAAATTCACTTCAATCACATTGCAGGTTTCATTTCCAATTAATACTTTTGAAGTTTCATTAAAGCCAAATCCAGATAAAGTTAGAAGAGTACCACCTTCATAAAGAAACAACAACAAAAACAGATCAACTACAACAAAAAGAAACTTCGGCAATAATCTAACTCATCATTCAAGAATTGTCTAATCATTCAAGAGATAGGTTGGTAAAAAGATCAAGGACCAGACTCGAGATATATACCACTGCTACTACATACCTGTGCCTGAGCTCTGAAGTCTGGTACTACAAATGAGTTGGGCTAAGCGATTTAATGAAATAACATAGATTTACAAACAACATTTGCTTTGGTGTATTACTAGCCACAATTTGTATTTTCCATAGTGCCTTCTCCATCCTAAAGAGAAATTATGTTGTTCCCATTTGTTCAACCATTGCATGGGCAGACAATGTAAATGACTTAAGGCTTTCACCAAATCCCAAATTTTAATACCTCTAAGTAAAAGCAAAAATCCTAATAAGATAAAAATAAAGTAAAATAAAAACAAAAAACATACCAAAAAGATCAAGACCAAAGCACAAAATCCAAAAGTAAGCAAGCAAACAAAAATCCACAAAGGAAATGAAGCAGGGCAGGAAAAATGTGTTATTTTCTTTCTATTTTCTGCCCAACCTTCCCTTCCCCAATTTGTTCCTGGGAACTTTTTCTGGGTCAAGTAGCTCCACTGAGACTGTGGTAACAAATGGAGCAGCTGGTAAGCAGAATAATAACTAATAAATCTTATCTTGACGTAATTGATGAGCTTGCTATAGAAACATGTAATAATTGATGATATGAATTCAATAACCTACGATGTAAATGTAAGCAGCCACCCTGACTTGTTCTTCATAAGAAACAAAAGAATTAGTCAGCCATTTAACCACTGTGCTTTCTGAAAAGGACTCTCCTTTGTTCTCTATGAGGGAGCTTCGGGTTTCTCTCCATTCACCCTGTTCTAGAAACAGTACATTGACATGATGGAAATGCAGGCAATTTTCTTTGTTTAGAACAATTAACTATTACCTGCTAGACTTCCAGAAGCAGGCTGGATGTGCGAGATCTGGCTCTGATAAGTGAAGTGGAATACCTCACCCTCTATATTCCGGGCTAGTCCAACATCAGCTATGGACACTGCAACTGGGAAATGTCCAGCACTTCCATTCAGAATCTGGCACTTGATTTCATTTTCTTGTGATAAATAAGAAAGTGATAAAGCAAATGTCTTTGTGAGATAAAATTACCAAATTTTATATTTCCAAATATAAACATAGGCATTCCTTTTTATACCCCCAAGAAACAGAGCTAAGGAAAACTACTCATGTGGGAAAAAATATTTGCAAACTATCTGATGTTATAAATCAGACACTCCCAAAAGAGAGGTAAAATAATAATGAAACTAAAGTATACAATTTGCCCCTGATTGCTACTGTGGTGAAAAGAAAAAGTTACTGTAATAATAATTAAAAAATTCCTAATCTGTAAAGTCATCTATATTGATAATTCTAAAACTTTTGGTCCAATATGTTGTTTATACCTGAAACTCAGTAAAACATAAGGTTTCATCAGGAAAGGTGATCAAAAGCTAAATGAAAACATCCTTCAGTTCATTTAGAGCAGTACATGCACATTTTTTTAAGTTCATTTTTATTTTTTATTTTTTATTAAGGTATCATTGATATACACTCTTACAAAGATTTAACACTCTTACAAAGAAAAACATTGTGGTTACTACATTCACCCATATTATAAAGTCCCCCCCATGCCCCAATGAAGTCACTGTCCATCAGTGTAGTAAGATGCCACAGAGTCACTACTTACCTTCTCTGTGCTACACTGTCTTCCCCGTGAACCCCCCTATACCATGTGTACCAATCATAATACCCCTCAATCCCCTTCTCCCTTCAGTATATGTACATTTATAATACAGGTATAACACTGACACAGATCTCAAGAATACATAGAAGATCTAACTTTAAAACAACTTAAATGATGTGGAAGATGGATTTACTTATGTAATTTCAACCTATTGAAATTCGGGAAAACACGTAGGATTGTGAAAGATAAATATTAGGGAAATAAATAATTTTGGCCCTTACTCTTTCAAGAGTAGAAAATGTGAGTGATTTTGAAATTCTATGTTGATAGATAGAGAATCTGTTGGCCTAGAGAACTCAGGGAATTTGGCTGTGTCTTCTTACCGCATGACTAATGTGGCATTGTGAAAGCATCAGCAGAGGGGACCATGGAATATCAGAGTGGCATTTTATATATTTTTGTGTCTCAGAGACAAACCAAGGAAGAGAAGCTTTCATGTCATCACTTTATGAGGGAAAAAGGATGAAAGTCAACTGTTAGGGGATAAAGACACTGTGTGACAGTGAAATAATTAGTTTCACTGATTGTGGTCATAACTAAAGCCGAAGAATAAAAAGGTAAGACAATTATCCAGAGCAATTTGCCAATTTCATGACCCCATAGGGGACTATGTAGGATACAATTGTGATGATACTCCTCTTTGATTCCAGTTTCTCTTAGAGAAGAACAATTAGATGCAATAATAATAATTTTACAAAAGACTTACCATCCACAGAAAGAAGAGAACAACCTACTGGTCCAACAGAGACTGATACTGCTGAACTAGGAAAAAATCCAGAGCCTAATATGGTTAGAATTGTGCTTTCTTCATAGGACCCTGAAAGTGAGAAATTTAAATAACAATATTAAGATGAAAACACGCAGAATCTATTGTTATGAAATCACATATTTCCCAGAGAAAGATAAACCTATCTTTATATAAGCAAGCAGGGAAAAAAAGACATTTATTTAGCAATAGTATTTTTTTTCTGTTGAATTATCCTACATTGCTTTATATTTTAAATCTATGTTGGTAGAGATTAGCAGAAAGAATTATCTGACTAAAAGCATGGGATGAGGTAAGATAAAGAAAATTATTCTTATGACAAAGAAATTAAACAGACATCCCTATATGGTAGCTTAGATTATGGCAGAACTGTCTTCAAAAAACTCATGAGACTAAGATAAATTGGACGATAAGTGTTATGGACACTTTCTATTCGAAATAAAATATGATTCCTTTACTAGGGTGATGTATATCCTAAAGTACGTGGAATATTCCTGGTTTATACCTGCTGTCCCTGCATCTTATACTTAATGTTTTTAAAAGTGTCTATATTTGCCTGATAAATGATATGGCCACCCTTATTAAATGACATCACATACAACACAGATTCCACACATATTTTTTATACAGCTGAGAATCAAAAACTCTAACATTTTAGAAGAAAACATAATAAAATATCTTACTACCCTATAGACATATTTCTTAAAAAAGATACAAAAGGTAATGGTAGACCATAAAGGAAAAGATAAATAAACTAGAATAAATCAATGATTTAACTGTGTCTATGAACAAGATAGTAAGACAAAAGTTGATAAACTAGCAGAAGATATGCAAAGAATTGCTAAAAACACAATATATAATACACAGTTAAAAGTCAATAGAGAAAAGATGATTTGATAAACGGATAAAAGATGTTAACAAGCATACAAGAAGAAACATACAAGGAACATACAAGAAGATGCTCACATGCATTACTTATCAGGGGATAGACAAACTAAAGATGAGAAAATTCTTTCATCAGAATTTCTTCAATCAGATTGACCAAAGTTAGGAGGCTGATAATATAAAGTTTAGGCAAGGATGTGGGGATATGGTGCTTAGCCACTAAGATTAAATATGAGATTATATTTCTGAGCTTATCTTTCTGACTGAAGAAAAGCCATTTCTTACAATCCTTACTCCTGTTGTTTGTTTCAGTCCTTGGGAGTTCAGATACAAAGCAAAATCATTTTTTTCTTAAAAGGAGTAACATACTAGATGAAGATAGAGTATGTTCTTGGCAATAATTTTTCTATCATTCTCAAATCTGATACTTGATTATTTTCATTTAGTAAACAGCAGTTGTCTCATTACTAGGCTTTTGATCCGAAATCATCTAGAAGAAGTGATCTCATATGATGAAAGTTTCCTATTAATATCTTAGCTAATAGAGTTTAACAAAAATGCCTCATTGTCAGAGCAAAATTTTAAACTGATTCTAATGTGGTGAAGTTAGAGAAGTAGAAGTCTGATGGGTCCAACCTCAAAAGTGTTTTCTTTTTCCAAAATAAGCAATTAATGCTCTTTCCATAGCTTTATGATTTGACACTTTTTTCACTATGTAGTAATGTCTGCCTGCCTTAGTTGGTCAAACTTGTATATTAAAAAAAAGATCATTTTCAGAGCGCGTTCTTGCTAGCTGTTTTCTACCTGCTACCCTACTCCAACTTAAAAAGATGGCAATTAATTACCTTGAGAAGGGCTCATGGCCCAGATTAGGGGAGTAGTCATGGGATCCCAGGTAAACCCACAGTCACCTGAACATTTAGTTGGAATTCCATTGACAAAGACTTCAACCTTCAAATAAAAAAGCACAAAGAGAGAGAACAGGGGTAGCACAGTCAAGTAGAGTATCTATAGGATTTAGAACAAATGATGGAATTTTGTTTGCTTACAAAAATTAGTCTATACTTTTTTTGCTTGGATACTTCATTCATTCAGCAAACATCAGGAACAGTTGTAAATGTTAGAATATAGCAATACAAGATGCATGAATGCAATATTTAGCCAAACAGATGATACACCTGCTGTATTCTAGTTGGGGTGGGATAGCTAGTAGCATAAACTACACACTTTAAAAAAAGTAGTGCATTTTATGCTCTGGTGGTGCTGGTGCTTGAAGGAAAATGAGGTTGTTTTGGGAAGAGTCACCTAAGTGCCTTACACTTAAATTCCCCATCATAAAAGTACTAACAATTATTACTTTATGAATTAAGATTAATCCAATACTAATAGGTAGTAGTAGGGCTTTCAAATCTATTCTTTCATCATAAGGAATATAGTTTTCCCAAAAGTCATGAAATAATATTATTAAGTTTATCAACTGTTCACACAAATCTTCACATGAAAATAAGATGTCATCCTTCCTGTTTTACCAGGTCCTTCATGTATTACAAACTAGTTATACATTTAAAATTATGTTAAATTTATGCCATAAGTAAAGTTTCAAAAATACCTGTGGCCTTTGGCTGGGTGTACGAAGTAGGTCTCCAAGTATGCGTTGTCTGAATAAGCCACCTTCCTTTATCTTTATAACTGTCATGTTAGCCTTTTCTCCAAAGATGTTGGAATCATTCACCTATTTTTAGATAAAAGTATTTTATGAGAACTATGGTAAATATGACCATACTAAATTTTTCTTTTTAAATTAAAGCAGGGCTGAAAGTGAATAAAAGTCAAATAAAAAATAAATTCAAAACTGTTTAAGTCACATTTTTTGGAAAAAGGTGCTTCTTTAAAAATGAGCATAATCCACCCAAGAAAAAAATGCTAAGATCATTGTATTATCATGTATTGCATCAATTACAATTTGGATTAAATGACTAAAATTAACTTGAATTTTTAGAATAAAATATGTTTAAGGAAAATGAATTTACTAAATTTTAATTTTTCAAAATGTTCTATGCTTTTTCTGCATATGGCCACTTGGATTTACGATTGTTGAATAATTGAAAAATTTAGTTGTCTTTCCACTTGAGGGTCAAACTTTTCCCGTTTAGTATTTTTTTGCCTCTGACTACTCATCCACTTACAGAATTACATTTTCAGCCAGTGGTTAACAATGAAACCTAATTAAACCAATATGTACAAGTTGGTCATTCCAAAATCCCAGCCAATGTGGCAGCCTTCAGATGTGCACAGGGGCTGACAAAGAGGTGGGGTCCCCATGCTGGGCCCTGTGTGAGCCAAAGTGATAGGGGCAGAAATAATGAGCGAGCACAGGAGACAGAGCAGGGGGTCAGTGCACAGACATTGGCAGCCGTGTCTCCCCAAGCCCCCCCAGCAAGCTCCCAAGTGGGAGACCAGACACTAGATCTGTCTTAGTTGCAAAATTTTTGAATTCTAGTTTTAGATCATGTGTTTTCTTAAAATAACTGCCACATCTATGACTGTTACTATTTTGCACATGCATACAGTCTGTGTATAATACATTAAATTCTACACATATGCTTTTTTTGATCTCCTCTTCCCCCTCTCCTCTTTTTTTCCCCCCCAAATGGTTTCCTATGGAGACTTCTGTACTTTTTCCATCTTATGTCCTGGACATCTTTCCAGGTGAATATATATGGATCTACACATGATTCCATGGTAGTCAGGCTAAGGTTGTGTCATTTTAACAACCGTATTGATAGGTATTTAGGTTTCTAGGTTTTTACTATTACAACTGATGCTGCAGAGACTACCTTTGTACCTATATCATTTCATATTTGTATATTATCTCAGTACTATAAGCCATATAGCTGAGATTGATAAATCATAGGTATCAATGTCTAGATACAACTCGATTATCCTCAAAGGTTATACTAATTTACTTTCTCACCAACAATGCATGAGAAAGACTGTCTTCTCCCATTGCCATCATTACTAGGAAGCGTCATCTGTTCAATGTTTCAGTCTCTCTTATACTACTCTCCTTCCCGTACACTGGGCCTCATACCACTCTCCCACCCCTCCTGCACTCCAACTAAGCAAAAGTAATTAGACGAGAACTTAAGGTACAAGTTTCTCACAAACTTGAAATGGTCCTCTTTAAAACCAGAGCAGTGTCCAAGGCCCCAGAATACAGCTCCAGTGTGTAGTAAAAGAACCATACATGGTGAGGCCAGTTATGCTCAGCCCTCCCATATCTTACTACCCTATAGACATATTTCTTAAAAAAGATACAAAAGGTAATGGTAGACCATAAAGGAAAAGATAAATAAACTAGAATAAATCAATGATTTAACTGTGTCTATGAACAAGATAGTAAGACAAAAGTTGATAAACTAGCAGAAGATATGCAAAGAATTGCTAAAAACACAATATATAATACACAGTTAAAAGTTAATAGAGAAAAGATGATTTGATAAACGGATAAAAGATGTTAACAAGCATACAAGAAGAAACATACAAGGAACATACAAGAAGATGCTCACATGCATTACTTATCAGGGGATAGACAAACTAAAGATGAGAAAATTCTTTCATCAGAATTTCTTCAATCAGATTGACCAAAGTTAGGAGGCTGATAATATAAAGTTTAGGCAAGGATGTGGGGATATGGTGCTTAGCCACTAAGATTAAATATGAGATTATATTTCTGAGCTTATCTTTCTGACTGAAGAAAAGCCATTCCTTACAATCCTTACTCCTGTTGTTTGTTTCAGTCCTTGGGAGTTCAGATACAAAGCAAAATCATTTTTTTCTTAAAAGGAGTAACATACTAGATGAAGATAGAGTATGTTCTTGGCAATAATTTTTCTATCATTCTCAAATCTGATACTTGATTATTTTCATTTAGTAAACAGCAGTTGTCTCATTACTAGGCTTTTGATCCGAAATCACCTAGAAGAAGTGGTCTCATATGATGAAAGTTTCCTATTAATATCTTAGCTAATAGAGTTTAACAAAAATGCCTCATTGTCAGAGCAAAATTTTAAACTGATTCTAATGTGGTGAAGTTAGAGAAGTAGAAGTCTGATGGGTCCAACCTCAAAAGTGTTTTCTTTTTCCAAAATAAGCAATTAATGCTCTTTCCATAGCTTTATGATTTGACACTTTTTTCACTATGTAGTAATGTCTGCCTGCCTTAGTTGGTCAAACTTGTATATTAAAAAAAAGATCATTTTCAGAGCGCGTTCTTGCTAGCTGTTTTCTACCTGCTACCCTACTCCAACTTAAAAAGATGGCAATTAATTACCTTGAGAAGGGCTCATGGCCCAGATTAGGGGAGTAGTCATGGGATCCCAGGTAAACCCACAGTCACCTGAACATTTAGTTGGAATTCCATTGACAAAGACTTCAACCTTCAAATAAAAAAGCACAAAGAGAGAGAACAGGGGTAGCACAGTCAAGTAGAGTATCTATAGGATTTAGAACAAATGATGGAATTTTGTTTGCTTACAAAAATTAGTCTATACTTTTTTTGCTTGGATACTTCATTCATTCAGCAAACATCAGGAACAGTTGTAAATGTTAGAATATAGCAATACAAGATGCATGAATGCAATATTTAGCCAAACAGATGATACACCTGCTGTATTCTAGTTGGGGTGGGATAGCTAGTAGCATAAACTACACACTTTAAAAAAAGTAGTGCATTTTATGCTCTGGTGGTGCTGGTGCTTGAAGGAAAATGAGGTTGTTTTGGGAAGAGTCACCTAAGTGCCTTACACTTAAATTCCCCATCATAAAAGTACTAACAATTATTACTTTATGAATTAAGATTAATCCAATACTAATAGGTAGTAGTAGGGCTTTCAAATCTATTCTTTCATCATAAGGAATATAGTTTTCCCAAAAGTCATGAAATAATATTATTAAGTTTATCAACTGTTCACACAAATCTTCACATGAAAATAAGATGTCATCCTTCCTGTTTTACCAGGTCCTTCATGTATTACAAACTAGTTATACATTTAAAATTATGTTAAATTTATGCCATAAGTAAAGTTTCAAAAATACCTGTGGCTTTTGGCTGGGTGTACGAAGTAGGTCTCCAAGTATGCGTTGTCTGAATAAGCCACCTTCCTTTATCTTTATAACTGTCATGTTAGCCTTTTCTCCAAAGATGTTGGAATCATTCACCTATTTTTAGATAAAAGTATTTTATGAGAACTATGGTAAACATGACCATACTAAATTTTTCTTTTTAAATTAAAGCAGGGCTGAAAGTGAATAAAAGTCAAATAAAAAATAAATTCAAAACTGTTTAAGTCACATTTTTTGGAAAAAGGTGCTTCTTTAAAAATGAGCATAATCCACCCAAGAAAAAAATGCTAAGATCATTGTATTATCATGTATTGCATCAATTACAATTTGGATTAAATGACTAAAAGTAACTTGAATTTTTAGAATAAAATATGTTTAAGGAAAATGAATTTACTAAATTTTAATTTTTCAAAATGTTCTATGCTTTTTCTGCATATGGCCACTTGGATTTACGATTGTTGAATAATTGAAAAATTTAGTTGTCTTTCCACTTGAGGGTCAAACTTTTCCCGTTTAGTATTTTTTTGCCTCTGACTACTCATCCACTTACAGAATTACATTTTCAGCCAGTGGTTAACAATGAAACCTAATTAAACCAATATGTACAAGTTGGTCATTCCAAAATCCCAGCCAATGTGGCAGCCTTCAGATGTGCACAGGGGCTGACAAAGAGGTGGGGTCCCCATGCTGGGCCCTGTGTGAGCCAAAGTGATAGGGGCAGAAATAATGAGCGAGCACAGGAGACAGAGCAGGGGGTCAGTGCACAGACATTGGCAGCCGTGTCTCCCCAAGCCCCCCCAGCAAGCTCCCAAGTGGGAGACCAGACACTAGATCTGTCTTAGTTGCAAAATTTTTGAATTCTAGTTTTAGATCATGTGTTTTCTTAAAATAACTGCCACATCTATGACTGTTACTATTTTGCACATGCATACAGTCTGTGTATAATACATTAAATTCTACACATATGCTTTTTTTGATCTCCTCTTCCCCCTCTCCTCTTTTTTTCCCCCCCAAATGGTTTCCTATGGAGACTTCTGTACTTTTTCCATCTTATGTCCTGGACATCTTTCCAGGTGAATATATATGGATCTACACATGATTCCATGGTAGTCAGGCTAAGGTTGTGTCATTTTAACAACCGTATTGATAGGTATTTAGGTTTCTAGGTTTTTACTATTACAACTGATGCTGCAGAGACTACCTTTGTACCTATATCATTTCATATTTGTATATTATCTCAGTACTATAAGCCATATAGCTGAGATTGATAAATCATAGGTATCAATGTCTAGATACAACTCGATTATCCTCAAAGGTTATACTAATTTACTTTCTCACCAACAATGCATGAGAAAGACTGTCTTCTCCCATTGCCATCATTACTAGGAAGCGTCATCTGTTCAATGTTTCAGTCTCTCTTATACTACTCTCCTTCCCGTACACTGGGCCTCATACCACTCTCCCACCCCTCCTGTACTCCAACTAAGCAAAAGTAATTAGACGAGAACTTAAGGTACAAGTTTCTCACAAACTTGAAATGGTCCTCTTTAAAACCAGAGCAGTGTCCAAGGCCCCAGAATACAGCTCCAGTGTGTAGTAAAAGAACCATACATGGTGAGGCCAGTTATGCTCAGCCCTCCCTAAATTACAGCCTGATTTAGTTCTGATACTGGCTCTGGCTAGCCTCCTCCTGGCCCTGTTAAGGGTCTTCTTAACACTTATTCCCAGATTTTTCCTAGGAAGGAATCACGAAGGAAGTACCAACAGCTCTTCTCTACAAAGGAGAATGTCTGATCAACTTAATTTAGAACAATCTCCTCAATTTCCTTCTTTGATGTTTACAGTTTGCATTTCTAAAATTCTACACGGCCTCTAATTCCTTTAGGAATGAGGCAGGGTGCAAATAAACAAGTAACACAGAAGAAAACAGAAGCCAAGCCAAATAAGGAACCTGTAGAAGATTCTGCTTTCCACATTTGCTCCTCCACTTGATGTTCCATGAATATCCAGCACAGGTTCCTTCTCGTGTAACTGAGACTTGTCCCACTTCCTCCAGACTCCGGAGAGCAAACTGTAAATCTGCAGCTGACACAGCAGCTGGGAGGCCTGCACTCGCAGAGGGATGGCGAACGGCAGGAGTCAAAAATTCACAAACTAACTTCATCCGTCGTATACATGAACTGTGTACTATATATTATCACTTGTAAACCAACTGTCCTCCAAATGAAATCTGCATTTTACTTATAACAAGAATTTATATATTTCTTGAAAACAAAAATTACATGAGTAACATACCTTAAATTATAGACTTGGCTTAAATACTTTTATTTTTAATATCAATTAACTTTATAGATAACCTATAAGCCATGGATAAAAGAGAAACAAATCTTTGGGAATATAATCTGGTATATCTGGTGAGGCACTAAAGAAAATATGAAAACATAATTTGTTCTGGATAATTGAGCTTAACATTACTGATGTAATCTCAACTATATAAATTACTTAGAGAAATAATAATAGAAATACTCCAAAATGTTTATTATGGTGGCCTAAATCAGCACTATCCAACTGATATATACATATACCAATGTTAGGAACTTTCTCAGATACCTTTGAGAATACGTCCAGAAGCTTGAATGTCAAAGCTGCCACTCAGAGGTGGAGACGCTGCTTGAACTCTTTGAATACGAATCTTTGACTCCCCTGGCCAATTATTTCCTCTGTAAACAGACTCATTCTCAGTCTCATTTGTGATTATCTAATTTCCAAAATAAATATAGATGAAATGATTTAACATAGCGATGGCTACAATGATTCCCATTTCACCCTGGTACACTCATGTGACATGACATAAATGAGCCTCAGGTATTCAGGATTCTTCAGGACATTAAGGAGAGCAACGTGAATCAGCACAGGCTGTACCTATAGAGCTGCGATAATGAGGCCAAAGTGAACTCGGTCATCTGTGCAGCACTCAGCTGGAGCCACAGCAGTACCTCATTAATTCAGAGTGTACCCTCTGTCACTCAAGGAACAAACATTTATTGAGCAGGCATTCTGTTCAAGCTACAGAGCTAATCAGTGGGAAGGCAAAGAAACATGAGATGCAATCTCAGCTTTCAAAAAACTAAAAATCTTCTGGAGCAATAACATATAGGCCCTTGAAAACTGAACTAGCAATATGAAGAGGTGTCTGAGCAGGACAGTGACTGATACAGACTCAGGAAATACTTGTCTAATGCTGAATGCTAATCAAATGACAAAAGTAAGATGTGCTCTAAAAAAATTTATAGATCATAGGTCCAGTAGTGAAAATGATATCTCCTGTTTCTGATCCCTCACTGTTACCTATTAACCTTGTGGGATTTAAAACTATAAACCCCACTGCCCACAGAGATAGTAAAGGTAAGTGTCAAAAGACATATACAAGAATGTTCAGAGTAGCTTTATTCTTAAGAGCTCCAAACTGGAAAAGATGCAAAAGCTCATCAATAAGATGGATAAATTGTGGTATATTCACACCACAGAATACAGTAAAGCAATGGAAAAGAATGAACTACAGGAATCTCACACTATAGAGTAAACAAAACTAGATGTGAAAGAATACATGCTGTATTATTTATTGATGTGAAGATTAAAAACAAGAAAACTTAATGGTGATAGAAGTCTAAATAGCGGTTATATAGGGTGAGGAGTGAATAATCTAATGACAAGGAGAAGGCACAAGGAAGGCTCTTGAGGAGCTAATGGCTTTATCTGGATTTGAGTAGCACTTACATGAGTGCATCTACTTTGTAAAAATTCACGCAGTTCAGCAAGGTTGCAGGACATAAGATCAACAGATAAAAAACAATCATATGTTATTCAACATAGTACTGGAGGCCCTAGCCACGGCAATTAGAAAAAACAAAGAAATACAAGGATTCCAGATTGGTAAAGAAGAAGTCAAACTGTCACTATTTGCAGATGACATGATATTGTACATAAAAAACCCTAAAGACTCCACTCCAAAACTACCAGAACTAATGTCGGAATTCAGCAGTTACAGGATACAAAATTAATACATAGAAATCTGTGGCTTTCCTATACACTAACAATGAACTAACATAAAGAGAAATCAGGAAAACAATTCCATTTACAATTGCATCAAAAAGAATAAAATACCTAACCAAGAAAGTGAAAGACCTATACCCTGAAAACTATAAGACAATCTTAAAAGAAATTAAAGAGAACACTAACAAATGGAAACTCATCCCATGCTCTTGGCTAGGAAGAATTAATATCATCAAAATGGCCATCCTGCCCAAAGCAATCTACAGATTCAATACAATCCCTAACAAATTACCAACAGCATTCTTCAACGAACTGGAACAAATACAGTTAAAAAATTCATATGGAACCACCAAAGACTCCAAATAGCCAAAGCAATCCTGAGAAGGAAGAATAAAGTTGGGGGGATCTCGCTCCCCAACTTCAAGCTCTACTACAAAGTCATAGTAATCAAGACAATTTGGTACTGGCATAAGAACAGACCCACAGACCAGTGGAACAGAATAGAGACTCCAGATAATAACCCAAACATATATGGTCAATTAATATATGATAAAGGAGCCATGGACATACAATCGGGAAATGACAGGCTCTTCAACAGCTGGTGTTGGCAAAACTGGACAGCTACATGTAAGAGAATGAAACTGGATCATTATCTAACCCCATACACAAAAGTAAATTCAAAATGGATCAAAGACCTGAATGTGAATCATAAAACCATAAAACTCTTAGAAAAAAACAGGCAAAAATCTCTTGGATATAAACATGAGTGACTTCTTCATGAACATATCTCCCCAGGCAAGGGAAACAAAAGCAAAAATGAACAAGTGGGACTACATTAAGCTGAAAGGCTTCTGTACAGCAAAAGACACCATCAATAGAACAAAAAGGCATCCTACAGTATGGGAGAATATATTCATAAATGACAGATCCAGTAAAGGGTTGACATCCAAAATATATAAAGAGCTCATGCACCTCAACAAACAAAAAGCGAATAATTCAATTAAAAAATGGGCAGAGGAGCTGAACAAACAGTTCTCCAAAGAAGAAATTCAGATGGCCAACAGACACATGAAAGATGCTCCACATCTCT